CTTTACCTGGATCTGAATAGAAGTCTTCTGGGACCTGGTGTCTTGGTGGGCTATTCTTTCATAGTAAAACTGAGCCTCTTCAATGTAATCCATGCTATGTGAATTAATCATGGCCTGTGGATTGCTCACAGATTTTTAATGAGGTCTGTGCTTGAGCAAAGTTTGCATCCCATCTGTTTAATTGGCAGGGATAAAAATCCCACCCCCAAACAAAATCATATGGAAGGGGGATGAAGTGAGTGGATAAGTGTGTCCTGTTATCATTAGTCCGTAATGCTGGCACAGGAGGCCATTAAAAAATGCATTTATTTTGAAGTGGAAAAAATACGGAATACTTTATGGAACTGGTCATGGCAGGGCTGTCCCCTAGCTGGATGGGGGGCTTGGGACAACCCTCCTTCCTGCCCCTGCTCTGACTTTACCCCTGCTTTACCCTACTTCTTCCTACCTCCTCTGCCCCACCTCCACTCAATCTAGGGTTGCCAGATGGTTTAACCAAAAATACTGAACACCACCTTCCCCCCCAAAAAAAACACCGGGGAAAAAATTCTGTTGAGGGAAAAAAAAGGGGGAGACCAAAGTTGTTGGCCAAAAAAAGGACCCCGAGAATTGTTAAGCAAAAAAAAAAAATTGTTTTTTTAAAGGGTGTGGCCCCTTTAAGAAATGCTTTTGAGGCTTTTTGGCCCTAACAGGCTGCTGGCGGCCGTCTCCCTGCTCTGGGCCAGACAGTTCCCCTGCGGAACCCAGTAAACACCTGGGATTTTCACCTCCTGTCTGGAAAAAAAAATCAGAAAATACTGGACATTTTAGGTATCTGATATTTTCTGAATTTTTTTACGGGACAGGAGGCGTAAATAGCGGACTGTCCGGGTCAATAGCAGACACCTGGCAACCCAACTCCACCCTTTCCCCCAAGCCTCTGCTCCGCCTCCATTCTGTTTCTTACCCAAAGCTCCCAACCCCAGTTCTCTCGAGCAACGCCAGGAGCCAGTGGAGCAGAGCCAGTGGTGCTGCAACTAACCTCCACACCTCCCAGGGTCTATGTTCCCCTGAAGGGCTCCCCCAAGGCTCTCCACTGATTATAAATACTATGGGGGAGGGAGCACACCCTTGGGCCCAGCTTAAGTTTAGTGCATCCTGAGTCACAGTTCCCTCTGCCTTTGTCTGTTGTATAAAAGCTTGTGCTGTCTCCGAGAGTTACCCCTGCTGCAGCTCTGCTTTTTAAATGTAGTAAGATCCACTGAGCTCTTACTGTGTTTAAACTGCAGAGCCACAGCAAGGGTAGCTCCTGGACCCGGTGCGAGCCAGGACAGAGCGCCTTCCGTTATCAACTAATCATGTAGTCAATATCAGTTGTATTGACTACACGATTAGCCAGTTACCCACTTCTTAACATCCTTAGCTTGTAGGATTAGAAATCTCAGATTTAATTATCTGAGTAATGGCAGGGAAGTCTGCTTTTTTCACTAGGATGCTTTGGCATTATAAAGTTGCATTGAATTTTGGTACTGTGGAACCGAACTGCAAATTGGAGCAAACTTTGAAGTGTATGTGACTAACTTGAGATTCTTAGCCAAAATAGGCTTGAGGCTATGCAATGTCACTCTATAATGGGGGAATGAAATCAGATAAATAAGTGGTATAAAAATAAAACATCTTACTAAATGGGAGCCCAAATAAGTTGCGGTGGGGGAAATAAGTGTTCCTACACCCAACTTTAATATTCTCTTTGTAATGTTCTCTTAAAGTTGCATTTCCATTCATAATGATTCCATTGATCCGGATTTTGCCAAACAAGAGTCGTGATGATCTGAATGGATTTTTTATCGAAGTTATTAAGAATATGATTGCCTTGAGAGACCACCAAGATGCAAATGAGGTAAGGCATCTCTGTGATAAATGTAACGATGGGGGAGTGTATTTGGATCAAATCAGAACTGATACATCTGTTGGTCCAAAGTGAAAACTCTGAGTAATTTTAAAGTTCAAAATAATATTGGGGAAGTTTTTTGTATAACATATACATGCTTCTGTTCTTCTTTGTGTGGGTGTGTAAGTGGAAGAAGAACTACTAATATGCAATAGGGATGTAAATGACTAGTCAACTATCTCATGAGCATAAGCTTATGGGATAATCAACTAGTCCCTCAATTAGTTGCTTCCTCCCTCCCCCCCCCCCCCCCCCCCCCGCTGCTTCTGTCAGAGGCAGCAAAAAGGGGGGAGAGCAGGAACAGGTGCTTGTGGGAGCCATCTTAAAATCCGGTTCCCCCCAGCACCATCTCCACAGGGGGCAGGAGAGGCAGGGGGTTAGTGGGGCCTGGGCTCAAGGAGGGAATCAGCTGATTCCTAGCTCGTGCCCAGTCCCAGGATGCTGCGCCTCTGCTTTTTAAATGTTTGTAGACACGGGGCATTTTAGTAAAGGAACAGCTCAGTTCTGCATATGCAAAACCTTTGGAACATAGTCATGCACTTAAATCCCCTGTAGTAACAGCTCTTCAAGCTTTCTTCTCTTTGATCTATTCTGTAACATGGGCTCTCCATTTTAGGCTCCCAAATACGTTGGCCCCTTAATTCTAGATTTATAGCCAGAAATGAGGAATGTAAACAAGATTTCTATTTTAGAAGAAACAGACTTTTTATGAACATATGACTTAATTTTCCTGTAAAATTTGACAGAGCATACACATCAGGCAGCTGTAAGTGGTGAAATACTGGAGATGCCCTATTCAATATTCAGATTTTCCATCAGTTGATTTTACATCAATTGGGAGAAAAAAATCACACTCAAGCCCATTACCCCAAACTTAGGGTAATGACATATACAAAAACAACAGGTCCTCCCAACCATGCCTCTCAAATGGCTTAACCCCATGTCTGCAATGTTTACCTTTGAGAAATAATGGATGTCAGCCTACGCAGCAGTATATCAGGGATGCATTTAAAACATAGATCAGTGTTCAGAGATGTTGCTATTTTCTACCTTGTTTTGTGCTCTGCTCCTTTGGACTCTATTGCTGCTGCTCGGGCTCATATTCTTATGTTTCTTATGCCTTGGTCTTATTTTCCTTTTCTTCATTTTCTTCTCTGGTCATTACTCGTCTTTCTCCCTAGCTGTCACCCTCCTGTTAATCTCTTCCTCTGCATGCCTGTCCGCCTCTGCATTCTTTGTTTTCCTTTTTCCCTGTCCCCAGGTATGCTTTATCATGATCAAATGTCCTTGTCTGGTTCATGGATATAATGCACATGGCTGTTGAGTCAGATAGGTATTTTTGCCTATGGGCATGGTGTGGCTGACCTGTCTAGAGTCACCACTCCCAGCAAAGATCACAGTCTGAGTGACCTTCGGGCTGCATATTGATCTAGTTCCACCCAGACACTTGCATAGTTTGAAAAATCGTCCCAGAGTAAATTTTAGACATGTTGATAGCTGTGTTCTTATATAGTTCCAGGACTTTGCCAAGACTTGGAAAAGTGACTATAGAGTTTGGTCGTTTAAGTGTCTTAGGATGGTCATCCAAAACCCAGAGGCACCCTAAATCAACAGGCACGCCTGAACATTTTTGCACTTGTGAACAGGTTGCCACCAAATTTTGCCAGGTACAGGCAACATTGATAATTTTCCAGGAACCAAAATTCCTCATGCTAATTTGTATAGAAAATGGAGAAGAATACAGCTGCCCTTCATGTTAATATTGAAATATGACCTATATAGATTACAGCTTTAGTACTGAATGCTAAGACTTCTTGTCACATTGAAGTCAATGGGAGATTTTTTGGCCAGGTTATCACCTGTAGGGTTTTTTTTTTTCCCTTTGTTTGTTTTTTTGCATCTCTTTATTAAGGACAATAGCCATAGGCCTTGTTGTAGAACTCACTGTGCTGCATTTATCCAGTGAGTGACCTTTACAGGTCACTCTTAGATGTTGCATTATTTGCATCTTTATCTTCTTCATCTTCATTTAAAAAATGTTCTTTATTTAATTTTTGCATGATTTGGAACAACTAAGTGCCCCCCAAAAGTGACTTAGCTAGAGCATGTCTTCCTCGCATCTGCAGCTAACGTGCATAAAGACTGAATGGGGAAGGAAAGAAAGGATAAAAAATAATGTGATGAGCAAAGTCATCCTGTTATCACCAATGCTATATCAGTAAATGAAACAATGCTTGAAGATACTCGCACAGGTAGATTGGAATTTTACAGCCAGCTTTAGATCTAATAATATGCTTGCTGTTTATATGAGAGCTAGGATGTCACTTTTTCTTATCCCATCAGGTAGTGCTGCAGATGTCATTTTAATTACATACTGTTTTTCAATGGACAGTAAAATAATTTCAGTCCTGGATGATTGTATTCATTGGCTTGTGTAATGAAACATTTTAGAGTCAGATTTGGGGAATTTTAGTTACAATATAGAATCATAGAATACTAGAACTGGAAGGGACCTCAAGTCCTGTCCTCTGCCCTCACGGCAGGACCAAGCACCATCTAGATTATCCCTGATAGATGTCTATCCAACCTGCTCTTAAATATCTTCAGTGATGGAGATTCCACAACCTCCCTAGCATAGTTCCCACTAAGGTGCAGCACCCGTGTGGCTGCACACACAAAATTATTTCCCCACCCACCTCCTGTGGAGAGCTGGGCAGCAGAACTCATGTGGCAGGCGGCTGTTCTGATGGGAGGCCCCGGCAGAAATGGTGTGGTGAGGGAGCTGCTACAGCAGGGGGCCAGGATCAGCTGCATGGTGGGGGGTGGGGAGGCCCGGTCTGGCAACCAGGTCTGCCATGTGGCAGGGGGGCTGGGACCTGTTCTGGTGGCTGAGTCTGGGAACGGGACCTGATGCATGGCCAGGGGAGGGGAGTTCTGCTCCGGCAGCTGGAAATGTGTGTGTGTGTGTGTGTGTGTGTGTGTGTGTGTGTGAATAAATTGGATGTCATGGTGGCACACATCCAAACCAGCACACGTGACCTCAATATTGGTTCACAAGCCAAAACTCACTCCGCTCATGGTTGGAAAATCTTAGGGTGAACACTGCTCCCTAGGCAATTTATTCAAGTGTTCAACCACCCTGACAGTTAAAGTTTTTCCTAATGTCTAACCTAAACCTCCGTTGCTTCATTTTAATCCCATTGCTTCTTATCTTATCATCAGAGGCCAAGGAGAACTTTCTCCCTCCTCCTTATAACACCCTTTTAGATACTTCAAAACTGCTATCATGTCCCCTCTCAGTTTTCTCTCCTCTCTAAACAACCCCAGTTCTTTCAGTCTTCCCTCATAGCTCATGTTCTCTAGGCCTTTAATAATTTTTGTTGCTCTTCTAAGGAATCTTCTCTTTTTTGCACATCTTGCTTGAAATGTAGTGCCCAGAACTAGACACAATACTCCAATTGGGGCCTAATAAGTGCAGAGCAGGGCAGAAGAATGATTTCTTGTGTCTTGCTCACAACACACCTGTTAATGCATCCCAGAATCATGTTTGCTTTTGTTCCAACAGTGTCACACTGACTCAGATTTAGCTTGTGGCCCACTATGACCCTTAAATCCCTTTCTGGAGTGCTCCTTCCTAGTCAGTCACTTCCCATTCTGTATCAGTAAAACAGATCGTTCCTTCCTAAGTGAAGTAGTTTGCATTTCTCCATATTAAACTTTATCCTATTTACCTCAGACCATTTCTCCAGTTTGTCCAGATCATTTTGAATTATGACCCTATCTTCCAAAGCATTTGCAACCCCTCCCAGCTTGTTATCCTCTGCAAAGTTAATAAGCGTACTCTCTATGCCATCATCTGAATTGTTAATGAAGATATTGAACAGAACCAGTCCCGTAACAGACCCCTGCAGAACCCCACTTGTTAAGCCCTTCCAGCATGACGGTGAACCGGTAATAACTGTTCTCAGAGAACAGTTATCAAGCCAGTTATGCACCCACCTTATTGTAGCCCCATTTAGATTGTATTTCCCTAGTTTATTGATGAGAAGGTCATGCGAGACCATATCAAATGCCTTACTAAAGTCTAGATATACTACGTCCACTGCTTCTCCCTTATCCATAAGGCTTGATATCCTATCAAAGAAAGCTATCAGATTGGTTTGACATGATTTGTTCTTTATAAATCCATGCTGGCTGTTACCTATCTCCTTATTTTCTTCCAGATGTTTACAGATGAATTCCTTAATTATTTGCTTCATTATCTTCCCTGGCACAGAAGTTAAGCTGACTGGTCTGTAGTTTCCTGGGTTGTTCTTATTTCCCTTTGTATAGATGGGCAGGGCACCATATTTGCCTTTTTCCAGATAGGGACTGTAGGTTTGTTCTTAAGTTGAATCTGTATGTAAGTCGGAACTGGCATCCAGATTCAGTCGCTGCTGAAACTGATCAGTTTCAACAGCGGCTGAATCTGGACACCAGTTCCGACTTACATACAGATTCAACTTAAGAACCCCAGG